GTGTGTGTGTGTGTGTGTGTGTGTGTGTGTGTGTGTAAGAGAGAGAGAGAGAGAGAGAATATGGTGGGGGAGACCTGGAGAAACCGGCTAAGGGGAGAAAAGGGCAGCGTTGACGACAACGGAAATCATGATCAACGAGGGGGAGGAGATGGAGATGGAGATGCTATCGCTGTTGGAGCCGATGGCGCGCTGCGCGTCGCTGGCCATCGCTATGGCTATGGCGACGGCTACAACTATCACGACGATAGCGTTAAGGATTATTATTATGATATTAACGATGGTGGTGATCATTGCGGTCATGGTGGTAATGGAGGTGATGGAGGTGATGGAGGTGATGCTATCCCAGGGCGGGGAGACCAAGATGTCAAAGGATATCTCGGGACGAATACACTTATGTCACGTCGTGAACGACCGGCCATGGAGTCGATGGACCTGGGGTCGGCTAGTACTTCGACTGGGGACTTCTTTCGCCGGCTATGGGGGACTGCTGCTGTGGCCTCTGAAATGCTGCAGAACCGATGGACACTTCTTGTCGCCGTCTTCTGGCTTGAGGTTTGTCGTTCTCTTTTATTTAGTTATTTATTTGAATTATTTTAATTATTATTTTAATTATTTATAATTTGTAGTTCTGTAATTTATGTACTTTATTTTAGTGATTTTCAATATATTGATAGATTAATTTATGAAGATTGAAAATTTTTCTTCTCGATGCATTCATGGAGTAACGTATGAAGATTCACGCGCAAGGGAAGGCAACAGCATAAATGAGGGCAAGGCCAGACAGCTCCTCACTCGCTCGTAGGGTGGCAGTGTATTGGTGGGCACTGGGCCGTAAGGCGCCGGGCTAGTGGCTTGCCTCCTGATGAGACCGGAGCGCACCTCATTTAGAGCCTGTAGAGGAACGCGTGCGCGAGGATTCGAGCCTGTTCTACACGCTGGATTCACTAATGGAATATTGTTTTTTCACTAATGGAATTAACTTGTTTTTTCACTAATGGAATTATTATATTGTTTTTGCGTGTAAAGAGCAATCGGCCATTGCTTGTCTATCTTCTTCTCTTCAGTTTTTTTTTTTTTTGCCTCCTGGTGGTGGTCCCCACGGGTTCCCCCGCCCCTCATCGGCCAGAATGAGGCCGTCATCAGGGGTCAACATGGCTTTCATCAGAGGCGAAGTCCCACTTCGCACCCCAACTCTGAGCTCTAGTCTTCCTCCGATTACAACGTACGGTCATTACAGATGAATTTGGTCTATCTTTCAGTCTAAGTTCAGCTGTAATGACCGTACGGTGTATTCGGGGGAAGACTGTGTAGGCCAGTTGGTTATTCAAATTTGCCAGAGCAACATTGCTTTCCTCAGAGGCGCATGAATCTGGACGTGTTTTACAAATTTATACAGATGATGAGGAAACGCAGATCGATCGCGATTTTATGCACCTCTCCACAATAGAATATTTCCGTGTTTTAGCGGAAGATACAGATTCACTCTCATTTTCACATTTTGCACATTTGGTGATTGTGTGTGTGTGTGTGTGGGGCCAGAACCTTTCTTGGGATGGCATGGGAGTCTTCTGATGTGCGGTACTGCCACGTACCGGGATAGCAACAAGTCGTCGGCCATAGCGACGAGGGAAGAAGAAAAAAAAGAAAGGAAAAAAAAGAAAAAAAAGAAGGAAAAAAAGAAGGAAAAAAAAAGAAAAAGAGAAAAAAAAAAGAGAAAAAAAAAGGGAAAAAAAGAGAAAAAAAAGGAAAAAAAAGAAGGAAAAAAAAGAAGGAAAAAAGGGAAAAAAAAAGAAAAGAAAAAAAAAGGAGAACTCCAGACCAGATGTTGGTCTGGGAGAGATGTACATACAGTAGTTCCTCTGATCTTGGGCGAGGTCCCACAAGCAAAGAGGACTGGATTGAACGCCTGCATATGGACGTGTTTGTGGACAGGTGCAGAAAATCGCTCGCAATTGATCTGCTCTTATGCATCTCTCTGTGTAAAAAGTTAAAAAACACTTCCAGATTCAGGCGCTTAATCCGATCCTCTCTTTGCTACCGTCGTCACCCGAAAATAGCGTCAGGTAATTATGGTCGTATCTGGACTGAAAGTTGTACCACATGCATTTATAATGACCATGCATTTTTCTCTATTTCTCTTCTTCTTCTTCTTCTTCTTCGTCTTCGTCTTCTTTCTCCATATCGATGCTTGTACGAGAAGCAGTCTATGGCCATTGTTTTCTCTATTCTTCTTCTTCGTCTTCTTTCTCCTCTTCTCCCCTTCTTCTGTTTGGTTTGGCTTTCATGCTTTGCATGGCCACTGTGTTGCATGAGATTACATCTCTACTCTACATCACCGAGCGCAGAAAATAGGAAAACAGCACATTAAAAAAGAAGAAGAAAAAAAAAAATAAAAAAAAAATAAATCACATCAAGCAGAAGGGAGGCGGAGGGCAAAAAAAAATCTTCACTCACTTCAACCTCATTTAAAATTTATATAATGTTTTCTTGCACGGTGTTCATTTTTTATTTTTTCTGAGAGCCGCACCTTCATCCAATCTGTACCTGTCCCCCGATGAGCAGAAGAAGGCAGCTTTTTTTTTTTTTTTATGCGATCCCTTGACTACTGGCATGATCTCCGTATTTACACGGAATGCGATTCTTCTTAAAGATTTCACGACAGATTTGCTGATCCGATTCTGATGTGTTTCCAAATTTCAATTTAAAAAAAAAAAAAA